ATTCCTGCAACATGAGAATTCTTTTTGCTTATATTATGTTCAATTAATTCTATCTTTTTCCCTTTCCTTCATCCAATATTAAACTTACACACTTTATTCACTTAAACCTATTACCCATTATTAGTGGCGTACCCAAAAAATTATAGGAAATGGATTCTCTTATGTGTAATTTAACATGATCATGTCATGCGAAAGGATCTTAACCATTAATAATTAAATCAACGGTGATGATTATGTAACTTCATATCCTTATATTTTTCTCTCTCCTCCCTTATCACCATTAACTCACCCATGTATGGTTATGATTGCTCCACATGACATAATAATGTTAATTAGCACATGAGGGGATCCACTCCCAAAATAATGTGACGGGGGGTGAAAATTTGTATTATTGTTATGAAAAGGTAATGCTAATTTTGGTTGGAATGATCACACTAAGGATGCAAAAATGCCTGTTAGTAACAACCTAATAAAATTACTGAATTGGATTTACATATATTAGAGGTGAAATGGTGGTTCATGGATAGAGGCTTCTATGTGAAATAATATCTTAGTTTTGGGTTTTGGTGGGAGCTATAGGTAATGGGGTTTGAAATGTTTTGTAGGTCAAGTTCATGGGCCATCACTAGTGTGATATTGCAGGGATATGATGTCTCTGGTGGTTTATGGTTTTGCTATTCTTGGTTGAGCGAGGGAACACAATGATGTTGAATATTTTGATTTTTGGAAATGATGCTCAAGTAAGGGCCAATTATGGTTAGAAAGTAGTAGATGGGTTTTTATATGATTGGCCTATAAGTGAAACTCAAAAACCTTCATCATCCATTTGTTGCGGTTCAATTGCAGTACGATTATTTGCAAACATTTTCTCTTTCCCCCTTGTTAGAAAAATTGCGATTATTCCTGATATTATTGTGTTAAGTACTATGGATAATAACAATACTTTGTAAGCATTTCAATGAAAAGTTTGTAAATAAACACAACAACCAATAAATTAGTATATCGATTTAAGATTCTGATTCTAATTAATTCAATCAAGTCAAGAAATATATTCATAATTACGTGCTTTGTTGCTGCTCCAATAAATAGCAGATCAGCATAACTAGGGGTGTAAATGGGTCAGGCCGGCCTACAGCCTGGCCTACGTAAAGCCTGGCCCGACCTTCGAGGTAATTAGGATAGGTGAAGGCTTGTAGATAAGCCTATTTAAAAACAAGGCCGTAGGCTAAATATAACAAGCCTGGCTTTTTGGCCTGTAGGCTGGCCTATTTAAGTTTTTAAATAAAAAAATATAATATTATTTATATTTAAAAGATTACAAAACCTAATTTCTTTCTTTTGCTATGCACAGCTTCTACATCAGATCTCACGACTCAGGAGTCTCACCAAAACCTAATTTCTTTCAAGCCCAAACGATCAAGTTTTAGTCCCTCACCGCCGGTCACTCATCTATCAAGGTTTAACAATTTACAGACCCTAACCCACAAACCATGTCTCTGTCAGCATGTCCCTTCTTCTGCGATTTTCATGAACTAATCGATTTCCTTTTTTATGTTGATGCAGAAAAGTGGTTCGGCTTTCGATTTGCGTCCAAAGAAGAGCAAAGCTATCAGAAGGCGCCTCACCAAGAACCAGGTGCTCTTTTTTTCGTTAACTTTTTAGATTTTGCGAAGGTGATGATATTTTGGATTTGCTACTGGTTCATACATTGAAACTGCAAGAAAAAAGTTTACTTATCTTGAAGCTTCAAAGTAACAAGAAGCTTTCAGATAGCTTTCCTTGCATATTCTAAATTCTGGTCTTTCGTGGCTTGTACTTCCTTATTATCATGTGACACTACATCATGATGTTTTATATCATATCCAGCTTTGTTGTTTTGTTATTGGTGCTTTTTATTTTGGGTGAGGTGTTTGATAATTGAAACCAGAGAATCAGCGATAATAAATTATCCTTCTGACACTTAGGACCTGCTGTGCACTCTTAACACCCTGTATAATAACATCACTAGTTCTGTTTGCATATGATGGTTACACTGCTCTTGCATTTTAAAGAAATAGAATGTGAGTTGACCGAATGACTGTGTGGACTTAAAAGTCTTAAGATTTCATAATTTTGAAAAAATTAGTTAAGGTCGAGAAGATAATAGAGATGTGGTCATGGTAATCTGAGATACTTCTTAGATGTATTTTTGTTGGGGTAATGGGAAATGTTGGAACACGCTTTGCTTCCTGTTTGGTGGAATCAAAGCGAGTTTAGTGATCAATTTCCTTTTATTATTGTGAAAACTTGAGGTTGATCCTAGTACAAAGCTTATTTGCTTATCATTTTTCTGCCCTTATTATGTCCATGGATACCAATTTGGTAAGATTGAAATTGCCTGATAGGAAAAAGGTTACTAATGATAAACTGAGAGGAACCTTAAAGGTTTATACTCTATTGTTTGATTCTGAGAATTTTATTTGCATATAATATGGTTTCACATATTTCTAAGTTACTATAATATGTTAGTTACTTGTTGTTTATTGTGTTTGTGAGGTGGGTTTTCTTTTTGTTATCTTGACGTTGCATTCAGACGAGGAACTTAACTAACTCCAATAAACCGAACTTAAAATACCATCAATGAATCAGAAGCATCTTTTGTTAGGAGGATTATGCGCTACAAAAGAAACTCTAATCTTCCAGGAGGATTATGAGCTTTTGGTAATTTTAATAACCTAATCATTTAGCTTTTTCCTGTACTTGTCTGCAATGCAGATAATTATTTGACATGGTTTATCGTTTAACATAGAAATCTCTCTCCTCTTCCACTCAAACAAAAAAGGTTGCTTTCTAGTTCATTGTCATATCATGTGTAAGTAGTTTTAGGCTGCATTTTGTTCCCATGTTTCACTAAAACTGTACAACCATGCCTTATTTCATTTGTGTTATGTGCTTCTCTTTATCATTTTTATGGGGTTGTTTATAATTGCATATGAGAATGATTAGTTCTTCATTAATCAAAAGACATGATAAGTTCATGATAATTGCATATGAGAATGATAATTTGATCCTTCTTGCCTAGACTGCCCGAGAAATTGAATGGTAAAAGCTAATGTTATGGTCACTTTTATTTTATATTTTCATAATTATTAACATTTTATCATTATTAATAGAAATTCATTGTTTAAACATAACTTTATTACCTCATTCACTTTATTTAATATATTTTTCTTGAGCTTTTCTCTCTTTTTACCTCACTCACTCTAATAACTTTATTTTGCAGGAAGATGATGTTAAGAAGGCTCATTAGAAGATTGTGAAGTTCCAAGAAAAATTCAATCTTTTTTGTTGTTAAAAAATCTGTTGTAGAATCTGTTGTAGAATTTTTATAACGTGTTCTTGTTAAAAAATCTGTTGTAGAATTTTTATAATTTGGACTCATGCTGGAAATATTGTTTAATGAGTGAGATATTTTATTTTTATTTATTTATTTAATTCGCAATATGGTAGGCCTAAAAGGCCTCATAGGCCATGTAGGCTTTTTATTTTTAAATAATAGGGCAGACTTGGCCTTTAAACCAAGTCTTTGATAAGCTCATAGGCTAGATAGGCCAAACATTTTTTTGTGTAGCGGCCATGAAGGCCAAAGCCTGCCCTGCTCTAGCCTATTTACACCCCTAAGCATAACCTATAGTGCTCAATATAAGGTCAAGAAAAATTCCTTCACTTGTAGGAATTTGAAGGTAACGATAAACTATAAGAGTACCACCAAGCTTGCTCCCAATACCTAACAAAATCAATATGGATGTATTCGCAGTCCTATTGAAGCTCCCAAAGACATTTATTAGGTCACATTGTAAACCCAAGCACTCAAAGTATATTGGAAGCACAAAGTTGTAAATAGAATAACCAAGTTCATATTTTAGGGGGGGCAGAGGGCCACCCTAGGCCCCCATGTAGGTCCGCCCTTGATTTTTACCCACTATATCCTTATACCTAATTCATTGATTAAAGTAGGGTTATTATATTTGACACCTAACACATAATATAAGTAAATTTTAGGAAGGAAAATCAACGGCGCACAAAAGGCATTGAAATATAATAGACACCAAGGAATATAAATAAAAAAGATGTAACAAATTGAAAGAGAAGGCACCTTGAGAACAACCTCGATCTGACTTTGTTGAGAATATTGCACATAATGAAGCCATTGTAGAATGAAAACTCTGAAATGTTGGTTCCATAAGCTTGGCAATGAATATGAAAGAAGGATTAATGCACCATTTGATTACTACCTGATGGTCTAACTCAAATTGGGTCGGGCCTAATCACACAGTGTTGAAGTGAAAGATGTTGATGAAGACAAGAAGAGATGTCAAGGAAGCTTGTCGAGATGTTGAGTGGCTTGGCGAGATAGTTGATCAGTACTTTGCGTATATGGGTAATTTAAGAGCAACTGAGGGTACCTGCAAAGGCACTCTGACGCTTAAGTCAGTTCAGTATTCAAGGAGGATCAAGTATTCAACGAGAGATATCATACCTGAGCTTAATGCCTCTATATTTATAGTATTGAGCGTCTTGTTTCATATTGACTTCCATAGGACGATGTTACTTTCATTGGTGGAGAGGGGTGGTGTAACGCCCCATCTCGAGTCAGTTTGTTTACATGCAATATGGTAAAAAAGAGAAGCATACTTAAATAAAGTAGTGGAAGACTTAAACAAAAGTATCACTGTTCCACTTTGTAACTATGTGACTTGATTTTTTTTTTAGTTTCTTTTTTTCCTTATATCTTGTCATGCATATCGGATTATTTTAAACTGTACAGTCTCATACCTGCACAGAACTCTTACTTAATCATCCTATGACCATAATTAACGGTCAATGACAATCTGAATATGATAACATATATCATTCCGGAGATATAATTGAACATTCAAGGATAATTCCCACTTTCATAACAAATACCTAACAGACAGATAATCCAATCCATACATGATTCATACATGAAATGGCTCCGTGCCAATACTTGCATAAATACATACAATACTTAAACATTAACATGTAATCAAAATAAACATAGGCAACATTTGCCACATATGTATACAAGCCTTAAACCCAAATTACATAAGTGCTTCCATAAGCATATAAGGCTGTACAAAAGTGTCTAAACATATAATCTATCATCAAAGTACAACATATGCATTATATGCAAATATCCAATACATCATATAGATGTAATGTGCCATTCCTAAAGCATGAAAATCTCTAACTCTACACGAGCTTCTTGTCACGTGAGCTACCATCATCCTTAGCCTGAGTACCTGAAATATATGTCCCCAGAAGGGATGAGTTAACACATCTCAGTAAACTCAGGGTTTATAGAGTAGTCTTCACCCATGAGTTCACTTCCTGCATGAAAGGTCAGATACACGGTATAGAAAACATTATATAATCATAACTAACATACGACTTCCAGGAGCTTGAGTCCTCCCTCAGATAGTCCTGACAACATTTTCCGAGAGCATAAGTCCCCACGGAGGATAACAAATATTCCAAGCACCTTGGTCCCCACAAAAGATAACAAATTCCTCCGAGAACCTTGGTCCTCACGGAAAGTAACAAATACCTATTCATTGGCCAAGAATAACAAATCCACAAATCAAATCATAGCATATACATGTCCTATATGAATGCAACTATAGTAAGTATCTAACATATCCAATCACACATACATAAACCATCATCCCATTGGATCATGGTGGAACAAACAAAGACGGAGAAAAACTCCTAAAACAAGAGCTTACCTCTTGTAGTTTTTTTCCATCTTCCTTTAAAATCAAGCAATCCAATCAACTATCCTCGAATCAATTATCACCTATTTCAAAGACCTCAATCCAATTATCAATACATCATCTCCACTATTCATACATGCGACATTATTCACGTATACAACACTATTCATGTATATGACATTATTCAAAAATATAGTATCATCAAATTTTCTCATTTTCAACCATCAAATTCAATTCCCTATCATTTCTTCCAAAGGAACACGTATCAATTCAATTTCTAACTCATTCTATTATTCAGTATTCATCCACAAACATAAATAAAGATCTACACCAAAAACTATCTCAAAATGAAATTTACTCACCACAAAGCTCCTTAAAATGCTTGTAGGGTTACTTTCCAAGCTTCAAAGCAACCAAAATCACCTCCTAGCTCCATGGTACATGCTTAGTCGAAAATGGAAAAGGAAGAAATCGCATCACACAAAGCTTTTCTAGGTAAACAAAGTAATGAGTTCCTTAGGTTAAACTCTCCAATTTTTGTCAAAAGACTTAAGGGTTTTGGTGATGAAATGGAAGTGTGCAAGCTTGTGAAGAAAAGTCTTGATCTTTGTCATATAATTGAAAGGTTGACCAAACTTTCAAAAATTGCAAATTGGTCCTATAAACTTCATCAATTCATAACTTAACCAAAACAACTTATTTAGCATTTAAGAAATCCACTTTCTTCACATAATATTCCCTAAACTTTTATATTATGGCACAACTTTTAATTTTTGGGCAAATTTTGCATAATTGCTTAGTCCCTAAACTTTTCATAATTGCATTTTGGTCCATAAAATAACTTGAATGATAAGAATTGAATTCTTGATCATATAAATCTCTTTCTAACATGGCTCCCAAATATCATGGGCTTAAGTGAGTGTACTTCACAAAACTAGTCTTAATCCGGGCAATTTTTACAAAATTATCATTTTGCCCCTGGTGGCAATTTAACCTTAAATTAAGATTTTCATCTCATTGACCCTTAAAGAATTTCCAGTAGTACAATTTATTGATGTGAGTTATTATAGGTGGCTTCTCTCAGGCTATTCTTTGGTAGGCAAGCCTATGTTCAGAGTAGATTTTAGTAGATATGGCGGCAAGCTAGAGCTGTCATTCATTCATTGGGTTCAGGTGATGGCCAACTTGTCTGAACTGCTAATCCCAGCAATGATAGTTCCTTTCAAGTTAAGTCACGTTGGCGTGCTAATTAAGTGAGATCCAATGCTTTTTATGCAAGATGAGTACCTTTCTGATCAAGTCACATAGGGGCTTTCTAGGCCCTTTGGAATTGAGCCTCTATCTCGCATGTAGTAAGGTTCAGATCACTGCCCATTTTTCATAAATAATTTTCATGTGACATGCATCATATTTTTAAGTAACAAATGTTTTAACAACAAAAGCTGAAAAGTCACTGAATAAGAAGCTAACGATCATGAAAAAATAATAAGGCGGAATCGCAAATTTGAGGGGTCAATGTTACAGTCTACCTTCAGGTTTGATATATTATGAACAGATCGTTGAGTAACCTTGGAGGGTTATAAACCACAAAATTATCAAGATTGAATATTGGTTCAATTTTGAGTCAAGAACATCATTTGAAATTTATTATAAACACAAACACAAACAATTTTTTAAACAACTTATTTATTGGGCCCAAATTTTTTTTTTTGAGTCAAGAAAAGCATTTGAAATTTATTATTTCTTTGAAAGTCAAGTTATGCGCTCAACTTTTTTTGGGCCATAAGATGTACCCTTAACTATGAACTGGATTCTTTATCATGTTCCCATTAGTCTTCACTCTTTAAGAATCGGTTTTACTTTTGATAAGCTGCTATATGCACATGGACATTTGAAAACAGAAATTTATTTATTTTCTTAAACTACATCAATCGCAAGCATTGCTCTAAAATTAACAATACTTATCTAGGGGTGTCAAAACGGGTTGACACGACACGAATACATCAACACTAACACGACACAAATTTTTTGCGGGTTAACACGACACGAATAACACGCAAAATAGGGGTCAAAATGGTAATTGAAAAAAAAATTAAAAAATGGGTCGAAATTAAAAAAATTAAAAAAATAATAATAAAAAATTAAAAATGTAATAATTTAAAAAAAATACGGGTCAACACGAACATGAATACATCAACACGAACATGACACGAATTTTTTACGTGTCATTTTTTCTAACACGAACATGACACGAAGTTTTTTGCGGGTCAACCCGAACACGAATTTTCGTGTCGTGTCGCGGGTTGACTTGCGAGTCAAAACCTATATTGACACCCCTATACTTATCTGGTGGGGCGGACTTGGTATATTGCATAGGAAAATTATTGCATGAGAATGCAACTTGTTAGTATTATAATATTATTATTCCAATTTTTGTAATTATATTTTATAATCTTGCACAATGAAGAACTATTTTGCTGTCAAGTATCTTCCAAATTACAAACAATATTCAAGTGTAATAGATTAAAAAAGAATGTTCAAACTCATTGCATGGGAAAATTATTGGGGACATTGGTCGAACTGCCCTCTTTTTCAGAATAATATACCTCAATGCTATGGAGTGCAATTTTTTTTCAAACTTCCACAACACCATAGTTGCTGAGGTTTTTAGCTACTATGAGTTGAACTAGCCACGCGTCACTCATTTGCACAAAGTAACCGTGTGGTGCAGCGACAATGGGCTACTTTTTCTGAATTCGCAGGCTTATGGGATTAAAGTCGGTGGGAAATCCAGCGAATTTGGCCTAGTGTGGCAATCCCAGTTGCAGGTGTTGCAAAAGTTTTGCAGGACCAAAGTAACTAACATAGGTAGCGACTTTGGCCCACTGATGATATTATAAAGCGACTTACAAACATAACAAAATTGTACAGAGCTATCTGCGTTACAACACTAATATTTCTATTGTATATTTTCTTCAAAGTGAATTGTTGTTGTTGTGAATACGCATCATCCTGTTTGGGTTATTGATAAAGTTAGACATGTGTTATGCTTGAGAAAATATACAATAGAAATATTAGTATTGTATATATTTAATTTAATTCTAATTATTTGAGGACTTGAAATATTAGAATAAAATGATATTTAATTTTTTTTTATGTTTTATTTTTTCTCTTAGTATAGGATTAAACAATAGGTTAATTGATATGAATTATATTTCATAAATGAATTAGTTTACGTAAACTATAGGATACTTAATATTATATTTTTAATTTATAATTATAAATATAAATGAATTTTATATTTTGTATATATTTAATTTAATTATAATTATTTTTGGGGACTTGGAATATTAGGATAAACGATATTTAATATTTTTTTCTATTAGTATAGGATTAAACAATAGGTTAATTGACATGAATTATTTTTCATAAATGAATTAGTTTAGGTAAACTATAAGATATTTAATATTATATTTTTAATTTCAAATTATAAATATAAATAAATTTTATATTGCATTTAAAAATTTGTGTTGTATATATTTAATTTAATTATAATTATTTTTGGGTACTAGAAATATTAGTATAATTGATATTTAAATGTTTTATTTTTTTTATTTTTTCTCTTAGTATAAGATTAAACAATAGGTTAATTGATATGAATTATTTTTCATAAATTAATTAGTTTAGGTAAACTATAGCTACCTATGACACTACCGGAAATGGAAAGGCTTTTTTCGGACGATAATAACACAGATATCACTAATCAATTTTGGTATGTTTGTAAGTCGCTTTATAATATCATTAGTGGGCCAAAGTCGCTACCTCTGTTAGTTACTTTGGTCCTGCAAAATTTATGCAACACCTGCAACGGTGCCACACTAGGTCAAATTCGCTGGCTTTCCCACCAACGTTGATCATAGGCTTGCGAATTCAAAAAAAGAAGCCCATAATCGCTACACAACACGGCTACTTTGGGCAGTTTAACCCAAAGTAGCTACCTAAGGTAGTTACTTTTGTGCACAAGCAAGCCTTTTTCAGCCACAGGGGGATGACACGTATCCCATTTATAAAAGTTAAGAACCTCAGCGACTTTGATACCGTGACAAATTAAAAAAAAAATTGCTTTTCATGACATTCAAATATATTAGGCTTTTTGACCTTAGTAGTGTCATTTTCATAAGGTTTCACCGGAATAATTTCTTGGTCAAACATATTACCTATATAATGCATAACGACGCAGTACTGTGGGAATCACTTTAGGACGTGACACTTTAGCAACCGCGTCCTTTGCATTTATTCCTGACCACTGGAACGTGATACCCTGACAATCACGTCCTATTCCCAAGACCACTGGAACGTGATACCCTAGCAATCACGTCCTATTCCCAAGACGCGGTACACTCTCAGCCACATGTCAGTGGGTCCCATCCCAAAAAGAATTCAACAGGAAGCGGTAGTGTATAAGCCGCATTCCAGGTTACAAGTCAAGTCAGAATCAAGCAGATATATATATATATTTCACCTAAAATTTAGACATATTGATATATTCAGAGTAAAAGAGTTCAAAAAATCCAATAAAAGCAACAAGTTATTTTCGTACAAAATGATTTTTATAGTTGCTAGCAATTTATTCTTTACTGGTTAGAAGACTAACTCTTAAACCAGAGAATAATTAATTTAGAAATTTACTAACAATAAAATTATAATTATTATAATTTTAAGGTGTTGGAAGAAGGTCTTTATAATTGTTTATATTATTCACTTACACACTCACTCATACGAAAGCCCTTTGGCTTGAAGTATGAATTTTGCATAGATTCTATTTTTTTTTTGTTTACCTTAATATAAATCATTAAAAAAACTCTCACTCATCACGTTAAAATTTTGGATTAAATTGTTTCTTTCACATATTGGAAATCGGAAAAGCAGACCAAACACGAAACAGGGGTATAAGATTGGGTACTATTGGATGTTATGTACTCTTTTACAATGAATATATCAATATGCCTAAATTTTAGGTGAAACGTATATATCTGTTTGGCTCCGATTTGACTTGTAACCTGGAACGCGACTTTTACATTACCGCTTCCTGTTGAATTCTTTTTGGGATGTGACCCACTGACATGTGGCTGAGAGTGTACCGCGTCTTGGGAATAGGACGTGATTGCCAGGGTATCACGTTCCAGTCGTGATTGTCAGGGTATCACGTTCCAGTGGTCAGGAACAAATGCAAAGGACGCGGTTGCTAAAGTGTCACGTTCTAAAGTGATTCTCACAGTACCACGTCGTTATGCATTATATAGGTAATATGTTTGACCAAGAAATTATTCTGGTGAAACCTTATGAAAATGACACTACTAAAGTCAAAAAGCCAATATATTATTATGAAAAAGGGCACAATACAATCAATATTCCAAAGTATTGCACGAGGATGCAGCTTGTTAGTATTATTATTCCATTTTTTGTAATTATATTTTATAATATTCAATTGTAATATATTAAAAAAAGAATGTTCAAACTCACCGATCATCCTTCTTTAACACCAAGCTGCTTTAATGCTTCCACAAGCTCATCCAACTCTTTGGAGGAATCCCCATTATCACTTACAGCTCTAACAGCTTCCTCTCTCATCAACTTGGCTCTTCTTTTTTGAGGACTATCCCCGCTCATAGACCCTGATATGGCCCGACCCAACTCATCAGGGTCGGGCACAGAATTCGCCCCCTCGCACACCCTCACTGCCATCTGCACGTCCTCCACCAACAGCCTCGCGTTAACGAACTGATCAGCCTCCATGGGCCATCCCAGAATCGCAACACCGGCAACCACCGCTTCCAGCACCGAGTTCCACCCGCAGTGACTCAAAAACCCGCCCACGACCCGGTGACCCAATATCGCCACTTGCGGAGCCCAACCCCTCACCACAAGGCCCCGACCCGAAACCCGATCCTCAAACCCGTCAGGAAGCAACCCGTACCCTTCTTCAACCAGCTCCGCCGTAGACGGCGCCTTCACCACCCAAACGAATCGGGTTCCGGATCTCTCCAACCCGAACGCCAACGCCTCCATCTGCTCCTTCCTCAGCAGCTTCTGACTCCCAAAGCACACATACAACACCGAACCCTCTTCCTCCCACCCATCCAGCCACCGAATCACGTCGGATCCTCCATCCGGGTCGGGTTCGACCCGATTTGAGCCCAACGGGCCAACAGCGAAAACTCTCGGGTGGCCCAATTCGGCCCGAATATGATCCAAATACGGACCCTCCAACGCGCCAAAGGTGTTGAAGACGGTGCCCCAGCTGGCGGCGTTTGCGGCGAACAACTCCCTCACGAACTCCGATTCCGGGTCCGATTCCCTGTAGCGGAGGATCAAGGAGGGAAGATGCTCCCCCCTAAACGACGGCGTTCCGGGGATTCCGGCAAACTCAACCACCGCCTGCGACTGAAACCACCGTGGATTCCGCCAGCAGCGGTTGCTGATGGCGGTTAAGAAGGCGCCGGAGGAGTAAAACGCGAGCCTGGGGATGCCGATTCGGTGGGTCCAGCCGAGGAAGAAATCGGAGATGAGAGCCACAGGGGGGTCAGGGTGGGAGGCCAACCATTGGATTATGGGGTTTTGGAGTTTGGAGAGGGCGTTCATGAAGGGTATGTTTCCAGTGTTGCCAACCTCACGGATGTTTTCTGCACCCGGGGAGATGTTTGGGTGGGTGGGGAATGGGAGGATGAGAGTTTGAATGGTGTTTGGGTGTGTGGATAAGAGAGGGTTGAGGAGGTTAAGGTTTTTTGGGGTGATGATGATGGTGATGGTTAAGCCTTTAAGTGTTAAGTGGTGGGTGAGGTCGAGGAGTGGGAGCATGTGCCCTTGTGCTGGGTATGGGAATACCAGAATGTGAACATTGGACATGTTTGCTTTGCTTCAATATGCTGCTGGATTGCTAGGGTGTCTGAATGTCAAGTGGTAATGAATTGAAGACTGAAGAGTGTGGTGGACTTGTTGGTCTTTGGTCAATAAAGCACCTACTTAACTCTTAAGGGAGTGGAATATCTCCAAAAAAAACAAAACTCTTTAAGGGAGTGGTGGAGCAGTGTTATGCTGAAAAGTGATTAAGCTTTGTAGTTATATCCACCAATCTAAGTCAGGGTGTCTGAATGGTAAGTGGTATAATGAAGAGGATGCTGGCTTCATCTTCTTAGTCTATCACCTACTAATACTATAGAGTCATTCATGGTTAATTTTACATCTACTACCATGTTCATAAATAAGTTTTAGTTTACATATTTTTTTTCTTTCCTTTTGTTAACATAAATGTTTATTAATGAGTTTTACTTTCATTTTTAATTTAGTTCTTATATATTGAAACTGATTATTGTTAATTTATCCATGCTGGATATAAAATGCCTTGATTATGTGAGAAGCACAGATATGGCATGGTTATAAGTTATAACATCGATTCAGACCTTAATAACATTTGTAATGTAATTTAGAAGGCTCATATAAATGATGTTGAAACATTGATTTTTGGATGGCGATTTTCTCAGAACATTAGCTTTGTATTTTGTTGTTATTGTTAAATTGTTAAAGCAAGAGATGGGGAATTACTTTATTTTTTTGGATGCAATTTATTTTAATGATGTGTACATATATATAGTTGACTCATTGCATCCTAGAACTAGGCTTCCCAGAACAGTTTTAGCCCCGAAGGCTTGCAAATAGTTGACTCGTTGAAGCAAAGCTTTGCATATATTTGGTTTGAGATCTGTGTAGGGTGTCCATCGAAGAAAAGATAAGTGTTTCTGTCTGGACAAGGAACAGCTTGGGATGGCATTTGAGATCACCATAAATGGTATTGGGGCAGCAAGGTTTCCATGTTTCCACTATCCCTGCAAAAGAAAGCAGTTATTCAAGTGAGCCACCACAAGCTTTTCAAGTTACTGTTTGAGTAACAATATGATTTTCTTTCTACCATATTTATATCCAGTTTCCCTTAGCTCTATAAGTAACTTGTAGAGATCTGCATGTACAAAGACAAAGCCAGGAAGCTTAGACTGCAGCTCATGGAGTACTTCAGGCAACCTCCTATTGTAAAAGGAGATCCCTCTGTTTATCTTCTCAACACATTTTCCTCTTGGTCTTGTGTAGACAGCTCTTGATGGAAAGCATCCTGCTGGAGGAATATTGTTCACGAAAAATTTTCGTGCTCCTAGGCTATACATTCTCTGCCAGAAAACAAAAGATTAAACAGATGAAGGGAATTTGCCGAGTTTGTGATATTATTTTAGATATATCATCTGGGTAGACACATGCAAAAATGCAATGGTAATTAAAAATCTTTGACAAGAGAAAAATCATAAGGAACAGGGTGATACCTGACATACTTATTATGTCAATGTCCCTTTTCTTGTCAAGTATGATAACAAAATATGTCAGATATTGTGGCATTAGATTCTGTAAATCAATATGGTGATTGCTCAAATATATGGATTGCTAGTATCATAATAATGAGTTTCAGAAAAACTATTTTCTATGTTTAATACTGTTCAATCTAATATTTCTCTGGACAAAAGGATGAACCTTTGTGTCTTTGCAATCATGTAATTGCAAATTACAAGGTCTGTTAATGCACAATTGCGCTTACATAAAAACAGATGTCATTGAATTAAACATAAAAGTGTATTCTATATGTCACATACCTGCAAGCGTAGGGAGAATTCTTTTAGCAGGCATGAAGCAAATTTTTTAGTGCCGACGAAGGTACTATTATGGATGTAGTCATTCACCCCCGTAGAGACAAAAAACAAGGATTCAGATAGATGCCTCTCCAGTTTTTCTTGATCATTGAACAGCTTTGCCAAATAATTCTCAATAGTTCTCTGGAATAACTTTATTTGGGTGTCAAGAGTCAAAGTATACTGCAAAGAGTGCAAACAACGTATGACATCATAGACAATCCTATTCCAAGAACATCAGAGATAATGAACTTGTAAATAATAGAATGACATTTACGTTGTTGGTTTCTTGTAGAATGCCAGAACCAGCAGATGCATAGTTTATGCGTGTGGTGATTTTTTCTATTTGATGCTTTGAAAGACTCAAGTAGGCAGGGGCGAAGGGTAGCTTTAGATGAATATCTGCATAAAGAATGAAATGACTGGAGGATTAATTTGTGGGAATATTAAAAAACTTGTATCAGAATGAGCCTTCAATTTATGGAGCAAAGAAAGTTGAAAAACAAATGGAGAGTAGTGAAAGTGGGTTGTATTTCTTACCAAGGAAATCAACCACGGTTTTTCCATTAGTGTATCGACCAGTAGGTTTGCCACCATCAAAGTCTATACCATAAGGAGGAAACTTTACTCCTCCTGCTGGAAGATAGTCATTGTTGCCACAATCAACAAGGGAATCACCAAAAACATACACAGCTGGAATCTGTTTTGAGTGATATGAGTTCATTGCCGATGCCAGGGGTGAGAGCAAAGTTAACACAAAAGGAAGGATGAGATACTTGGTATTCATTTTCAAGACAATATATTTTCTTTTTTATGAAGAGCCAAGGTGGGTGTAAATGTTATAAATTGGACTCTGAATGTGTTTACATAGAGAGATTATAGATAGACTCACTTCTGGGCTTTTTCACCCTTTTACCCCTTATTAATTAATTAATAACCATTTTGCCCCTGATTCGAAACTATTTATCAATCTGCCCTTCTTTAGTCGACTACTTTGCATTTTTAGTCGACTAAATGGCCAAAACAGACAAAAAATGGCTGCTGGGAGATTTAGTCGACTAAATCTCCCTATTTAGTCGACTAAATCTTCATATTTTACAAAAAAAAAATAAGTCAGTATGATTTTAATCGATTAAGTAGAGAGATTTAGTCGATTAAATCTCCCAACAACCGTTTAGTCGATTAAAAATGTAAGGTAGTTGATTAAAGAGGGGCAGATTGGTAGATAGTTTCAAATCAGGAGCAAAATGGTTATTAATTAATTAATAAGGGGCAAAAGGGTGAAAAAGCCCTCACTTCTGCCTTGTAGTGATTATTGAACAATAGCCTCGGTTTTTATAGTGGTATTGCCTCGATGATGACATCGTGTAATCACCCATAGAAACCGAAGATGATGGTTAACCGTGACTTTGAACAGAACAATATGCTGTATTTTCTTATTTTGTTTATAAATTATCTAATGTTTTATAAATATAACTATTTTTTTTTTTTAAGATAATAATTTTTCAAGCCACTCCTGTGCGTGTGTATGACTGTAAGTAACTAAATATGTTTTAACTTTTAACTCAATGACTTGCAGAGCTTGGTTGTGATTTTTTTATGCATATGATTATGCATTATATTACTTTTCTTTTGTATATGGTGAAATATTGAGGTTTGAGAAAATAGAGGCTTGAACAATTCACAAACAAAATCAAAATGATAAAATCGCTTTCCACTTGTTTGGTTTACAAATACATGGAAGTTAAAGAGTGAAATGTATCTCATTTTACACACCCGACAAATTTTGGCTACTTTTACCATGTACCAATTAATAGATTGAGACTCAAAAGGTTAGTCATCACAATCATATACTATATACCATATACTGGTCAATTAATGGCTCCTGAATGAGAACCCTTTCAAATAGCCATTTTGAGAAATCTCCTAGCATGTGAGTGGCTCTTAGAGTCTCAGTCGTACACGATTCATACAAATTTTTATGAAAATAATGGAAACCAAGTTCGGACTGATCATTCATGTAGCTAAGCCTATATCTGATCAGTTATATTTTTATACAAAATCCAAAGGATGAATACCAATAATTTTTCTGTAGAATTGCAAATCCAATTCTATGCTTCTAAAAAATGAATACATTCAACCAACAATATGCATAAGAGGTTGGTAGATAGTTGGATTCTTTAAGTATACCGGCAAGAGTTCGATTTATGGTTGTGTGTATAGAAAATACTTTTGTTGAAAAAGACTATACCCGTGATTTCTCTGCCACGAAGGAACTAAGGGGGATACCTTGAAACAATTTCCAAAAAATAAAAATAAAATTAATATTTAAGAAAAAGATAATTTTATGCATTAATTTCAGCCTGTAAATATATATTTTCTCCTCAATTATTAGCATCCCAAGTTCAAGAGTAAGTGTTTCTTTACATCCCAAAAGGGGAAAACTTCATGCGACTCTTGAATGTTATTATAAGTGAAGTATATTCTTATAATACAAGAGAGAGTAATATTATTCTCTCCTTGTATTCTAGAAAGTGAATATAATTTCTTCCAATTAATAAAATCTTCTTTGATTTTGTCAATCAATTGAATTTTTCATATAAATCTTATATATCACTTCAATTGATATATTTGTTGATCTCATGACCAGTGAAATTAAGATGAAGTTAATTACACATTAATATCTAAGAAAGTGATGAAAAAATGTAGTCTCAATGATTATTTAACTAGTCATTATTACAGTTACACAGAGACTCCCACTTATGCTTAGTGGCCAATTGATGTGATTGAGTTGTTACAAGAGAAGGAAACTAACCTTGTATTTTTTATTTTTTTTGCCTTACTGCTCCCCTTACTCTTTTTTTTTTTTTTTTTTTTTTTTTGAGAAAAAAAAATTAAAGTGGAATTAGATATCAATATCTCATAAGCAAGCACAAATGCAAACCTATTTTATTACAAAGGAGCCATTTTATGCAACAATGTGGTGGCTTATTGTTCAAAATAATAAGCATAAAACACGGGAAGATTGAGAAGAGTGAAGGTATTTAACTACATTTCAATGAGGAAAAATGCTTGTATTTAATGAAGTTGCACTCCCCATAATTGATCGTTCACCTATCACGGGACACAACAATATGCCTCATTCCTTTCGGACCTAACTCTTGGGTGCTACCTAGCTATAATGTGCATTAATGAGGCTGTCGATTCAATATATATGAAGACTTCAATGGGGATGCACCTACCAATGAGTTGCCAAAAGCATATATATTTAATTATTTATCCATTCTTGACACAAAATGCCTTGATTCTGTGAGAAGCACTAACATGTGCATGGTTTAAGATGCCAAACCAATATACATCGGTTCAAACCTTGTATAAAGTTCTGACTAGTCTGTTTCTTAATGTTACAGTATCAAATTGGTTTTTGACTTTCTAATTCATGTCAGGATACTCATATAAATGATGCTCAACTATTGGCACTTAAATGGCAATTTCCGCCATCGGTATTATTGTTGATCATTTGTTAAAGCAAAAGATGGGTAATTGCTTTGATTTTTTCGGATGCAATTTATTTTACTAAAGTGTACATATTAAACAGAACTAGGCATCCGAGAAAAGTTTGCGGCCTGAATGCCTGCAAATAGTTGACTCATTGAAGCAAAGTCTTGCATATATTTGGTTTGCAATCTGAGTAGGGTGTTCATCAAAGAAAAGATGAGTGTTTCTGTCTGGACAAGGAACAGTATTGGGACGGCATTTGAGATCACCATAAATGGTATTGGGGCAGCAAGGTTTCCATGTTTCCACTATCCCTGCAAAAGAAAGCAGTTATTCAAGTGAGCCACCATAAGCTTTTCAAGTTACTGGTTTGAGTGACAATATGATTTTCTTTGTACCATATCTATATCCAGTTTCCCTTAGTCCTATAAGGAACTTGTAGAGATCAGAATGTACAAAGACAAAGCCAGGAAGCTGAAACTGCAGCTCATGGAGTACTTCAGGCAACCTCCTATTGTAAAAGGAGATCCCTTTGTTTATCTTCTCAACACATTTTCCTCTTGGTCTTGTGTGGACAGCACTTGATGGAAAGCATCCTGCTGGAGGAATATTGTTCACGAAAAATTTCCTTGCTCCTAGGCTATACAGTCTCTGCCAGAAACAAAAAAGATTAACCAAATGAATTTTTTTTTGGCCAAGTTTGTGATATTATTATGTTTTTGCAATCATGTATATATAAATTTTAAAGTCTGTTTATGTAGAATAGCAGTTACATATGAACTAAAATCATAAAAAAAAAAAAAAAATGTCATTGAATGAAAAATAAAAACCAATTATAATATGTCACATACCTGCAAGCGTAGTGAGAATTCTTTTAGCAGGTAAAAAGAAAATTTTCTAGTGCCTCGGAAGGTTCCATTATGGAAGTTGTCATTCACACCAACAGAGACAAAAAACAAGGATTCTGATAGATGACTCTCTAGTTTTGCTTGATCATTGAACATGTTTGGCAAATAATTCTCAACAGTTCTCTGGAATAACTTTATTTGGGTGTCAAGAGTCAAAGTAGACTGCAAAGAGTGAAAACAATATATGACATCAGAGACAAATTAACCTATTAAAAGAACAAGAACAGAGGTGATGAAATTGTAAATAATAAAGTATGAAATTTTTACATTGTTGGTTTCTGGAAGAATTCCAGAACCACCAGATGCATAATTTATGCCAGTGGTGATTGTTTTCCTTTGATGCTTTGAAAGACCCAAGTAAGGAGGGGCAAAGGGTAGTCCTAGATGTATAGCTACATAAAGAAATAAATGAATCAAGGATTAATTTTTGGGATTAATATTAAAAAAAAAAAAGTTGAAAAAGAAATAGGAAATAGTGAAAGTGGATATGATTTAAATTCTCACCAAGATAATCAACCACAATTTTTCCATTAGTGTGTCGACCAGTAGGTTTGCCACCATCAAAGTCTATACCATAAGGAAGAAATTTTGCTCCGCCGATTCCTGGAAGATGGTTGTTGTTGCCACAGTCAACAAGGGAATCACCAAAAACATACATGGCTGGAATCTGTTTTGAGTGATATGAGTTCATTGCAAATGTTAGGGGTAATAGCAAAGTTAACACAGAAGGAAGGGTGAGATACTTGGTATTCATTTTTTCAGACAACGTATACGTATTCCAGTCTATGAGAAGCCAAGAATCTGGACTCTTCACTGTGTTTGTTTACCTTGGTCGAATTCGAAATACTAAATAAAAGGGAAGTTTTTAATGAAAATTTGACTAGTATTTAAGATTTTTCAATATATTATTAAAAGTAGAGCTTTATTACTCTCATGGAATAGGAGAGAAGATCTCTCATGTTATAAAGACAATTATGTGTGAGATCCACTCTCTTATAGAAAAAAAATAACACGAAAATTGATAATATATGTGTAGGAAAATAAAATAATCGCCTCTAACATAAGAGTATATTTTCTCGTGAATTCTATAAGATCGTAAAGATTTTTTAATCAATATCTTTAGAACACTTATTTCAAAAATACATAAATAATTATATGAAATAGAAATTTATACAATTATTTAATGTAACATGATGATATGTTAATTTTTTATTGATTTATTTATACTATTTAACTAGTGAAAATTTAATGCATTTTAAAATCTCTTGACATATTTCTTAAGCAGTTATAAATATAAAATATTAAATCAGAAAAAAAATTCTAAATTTTCTAATATATAAAAGAGTTTATCATTTCTTATATCATCAGAGATTAAATTATTTCCATCATTTCCAAAATTAAGTAATTTTGAGAGTTGATAAAATTAATGAATTTGTTTTATAAAATTTATACAACAAAAATAAGAATAGAATTAATAAAATATTATTTATTAATTCTCTCAATTCTATGTACTTTAAAGATTATACAATTTTATTTCTTGTTACATAAAAATATTTTTTCTTATATTAAATATGTTTATTTAATTTTTAATTTTTGGAATTATCCTTCCTAACGTGATTGCGTCAGCCATTATCTCATGGTGTCCTATCCCATAGTAATCGAAAATGATGATTAACCGTCACTTTGACACGACAACATGGTATTTTTCTTTATTTATTCAGTAAAGTATATAATATTGCATACAATGAAATTATAAAATTATTAAAAAAAATTTATTGCATTTAGTAGTTGGAGCCAACACTTGGTGTGTTTGGCATTTTTTATTGTATATATCATTTTGCATTTTTCATTTAACATGACACAACAAATTTTCCTACACACACAATATTTTGTAGGGCTCACATTTTTTGAAGAAAAAAGAAAAAAAAAAATTACGATACGCAAAACGAATCTTTATAACATTACATAATCATTTTTCCTACAACATAACTTTTATAAAATTCATCATATAATTTTAAAATATCTCCATACAACTTTCTTTAATCATCTTATTCTTGAAGTATGATATTTAAGACTAGCTTCTCGTTGAACAGAGTGCATTAAATTACTGTAATCAGAAAAAAAAAAAAAAAATCCTCATTTAAAGGAACTCCCTAACTTCAAAAAAATTTCAAAAATTTGCTTTTACCAATATTTCAACCATGACCAAAGATAAAAGCTATGGAATGAAATTGACATTATGTAACATAACTGAAACTTTTTTAATTTTTTTTATCTATATCTGAAAATTTTGATTTCCTGAACTTAATATAAAATACGGGTAACATAATTAACTAAAATACTTGATGCAACAAATCCAAACGCGTAAAATTGTCGGGGATTTTAAGCTGCATTAAAATGCAAATAGGAAAACAATTGAAAAAGAAAAGCAAACAAGGAAATTAGAAGAACATGAAGGACAACTGAAGTGTTTAATCTTTTTTGTCATTTACCATACTTGGCCATGCATAGTTATCATGAGATCGATTTGGTTCTTATAAGCATGTTAAGTGAATAATAATCTATATGTACCATGGCCCATGTGCGTTGGATCTTTTCTTTTCTATAGTTATTTTAAGTTGAGTTTGAAATTATTAAAGGGAAAAAGAAGTATAATGTTGTAGGAAAATGTTTAGGTAATGTTATAGAGATAGAGATGGTGGGACCCACCCTTGTTTTCAAAAACCAAAAAAATAAACAAGTGTGGGTCCCACCATCTCTATCTCTATAACATTACCTAAACATTTTCCTACAACATTATACTTCTATTTCCCATTATTAAAATAGGAAAATGATTTGATTCTTTTTTAAAGTAAATTGAATTGGTTGAATTTAGGAATTGACTCTCATGTTCAGAATTACTTATAAAAAAGAATTTGAATTGGTTTATAAATTAATTTTTATATTTGAAACATACTAAAGATGAATAGAATTCATTTTGTTTTAATAATTTTACTTCTTTTTGGCATAAATAGAAATTTTATTTTATTGTCCTTAATTAATTAAAATAAGAAAAATGAATAAATTAACAGAGTCAAAATCGTTAATTCAGTTAATTAAATGTAAAATAAATTAAATCTAACGAAATGAAATTAATTTATATTAATAACAAATACAATTCAAAATCAAATATTAGGATTTGTAATTTCAAACATGCTTGCCATTGATTTCTTTTCCATTTTACTATTTAGACAGGTTCGATTTCATAGTTCATGGGTGAAAATAAATGTTTCACTGAAATAATTTAATTTACGTATTTATCTTTTCATAATCTTTTTGAATGATTTAAGAACTATTCGATGTTGAATTGTCGAAAACTCGCAAACTCGTAAATTTTTGGATAAAAATTAAATATACTCTATGTCTCCAACCTTACTATTTTAGAAAATTAAGGATACTAGTTTGATGCTGAGTTTCAAACGACTGAATCCTTACATCAACATAATGAAAATTTTACCGTAAATAAGTTATTGCAGTATGTCAAATATGATGTTATTTTGGAATAGAAATTATTGTATTTTGTAATTTTAATTTATTTCAGGATTATAATAGTCTTTATATTTATAATTTTTTTAAATTTTAATACCAAAACGACGTCATTTTAAAAATAAATACAAATAATTTATATACACTAACTGGAGATACATTTTTCCCTTCTTTATATTATTAAAAGTATTTAAGATCGTAATAGTTTTTTAATCATTATCTTTAAAATACTTATTTCCAAAACACATAAAATAGAAATTTATACAATGTAACATAATGATGTGTTAATTTTTTATTGAGTTATTTATACTATTTAACTTGTGAAAATTTTATGTATTTTAAAATCTCTTGACATTTTCTGAAGGAGTTATAGATATAAAATATTAAATCAAAAACAAAATTTTAAATTTCCTATTATATGAAAGGATATTATTTCTCCTTACACACACGAGGTAAAATTATTTCCATCAATTCTAAATTTTGAGAATTAATGAAATTAACGAAAGATATTTTAATAAAATTTATACCTAAAGAAATAAATAAATTTTTAAAGTATTATTCACTAAATCAAATATTACATAACTTAATTTTCTTGGAAAAAATAGATAATTTTATTTAAATTTTAATTTTGGAAATATCCTTCCTAACGCGATTGCGTCAGCCATTATGTCATGGTGTTCTTTCCCATAGTAATCGAAAATGATGTTTAACCGTCACTTTCGACACGACAATATGCGTATTATTCTTATCTTATTTGATAAAATATATTATATTGCATATAATAAGGATTTTTTTGTCATCAATGGAAATAAGTTAGCTACATTGAATCTAAAATAATATTATTTTGAGACAAAAATTAATGTAATTATATAATTATAATTTATTTTAAAGTTATAATAATTTTTTAATTATAATTTTTAATCAAAAATAACGTTATTTTGAAAGTATTTGTAAATAACGTATCTACATTTACTATATAACATTAAAGTTAGGAGAAAAGTTTGTGTGCTTTAAGAATACAAAAATTCAATACTCTCTTTGTATTTTCATAAAAAAATTATTTTATTCACTTTTTTATTTATATTTACATCTTTGTCACACATTTTTCAAAAAAGGATGACTAAATTTTTATGCTTCCGGAGCACAAAAACTTTTCTCTAGAAAAATATGGAAAAAAGATATGTCATTTTAAATGACATATTTTATATCTTTTCATTCTCATAAAGTGACGAGACCCACTCTTTTAAAAAAAATTCTCTCCATTCTCTCTTCCATAATTTATCTCTTTTTCTTACTTAAAATGATATAATTTTGTGTCATTTAAAATGATACACATTTCTTTCGAAAAATATTTGATCAGAACAAGTTTTTACAATTGGGCCGATCATGTGATCTTCTTCTACACAAATGACCTGAAAACGTATTGGGTCAGAGCATCTTGCAGTTTGGAGCAGCTTTAACCCATGGGTCTTCAATGGAACGAGATGGGGGTGTACCTGCAAGACACTCCGACGCTCAAGTCAGTTATGGTTCAAGCAGGTTTCAATTATGTGGAAGAAGATGATTACCTTTGTGTCAATAGGTATGTATTTATAATGGAGAGATGAGCAGCTGGGAGATGTTACTTAGTGATCAGGTTTGCTTTGTCTTGGAGGCAAAGTAATAGAGCTGCCATGTTTAATGTTGAGGAGCTTGATGAGATAAGCTCTTTATTGTTGTGGAGCTTGTTGTCATAAGGCCATTAATATTGTGCAGCTTGACAGCTGTCATGAGTTTGGGGATAAAGATGATATTTGCAGTCTTCTTTGACTAAAAGCTTTGCTTAATGATGAAGATCTTTGATTTGGGCCTTGTATTTGTATAATATTTATCCAGATCAGAAGCCCCCCAGCTCGTTGCTTATGCCGAAGGCATGAGTAGCGAGATGTATAAGTCTGCGAGATGATTTGCCTGTTCATCAGCCCAGGATATCTATTTGACTTGCGCTTGGAAAATTCATTACGTTGTTCCTTTATTCTGGAACTATGGTTTGTTCTTTTGTATGGGTGCTTTGAGAGCTTCATAATTGTATTCTACATTTTGATACAGTTCATAATTCATAATTCATATATTTTGCATACCTTTTTATTTTGCATGCTCTGTAGTTCGATGTCGCTTAGTTTGATGTATCGCGCTTTGGAGGAAGTTTTAACCAGTTAAGATTTTACCTTCCTTTGTTCTTGATTGCGCGTTGGAGGAAGTTTTAACCAGTTAAGGCTTTACCTTCCTTTCATTT